TATTAATGTCTTGCTTTTCTCTTCCGATCGCTCTGTTGCATACTTATATATTGCTTATGTATTGTCTGTGAATTGGTACTAACGTTTCGTTTGGCTAGTGCATAGCGATGCCGACGTATGTCGTGTACAAGGGTAAGGTTCCCGGAGTCTACGATGACTGGGAGGAGTGTCGGGGACAGGTTCACCAATTCAGCGGTAACAGTTACAAAGGGTACACCAATAGGGCCGAGGCCGAATCTAGATACGTCCGCTATCTAGCGGGAGAGGGGAGGGAGCGTTGGAGGAACCGAATGAAGACGAGTTTCATCGTGATGATGCTCATCGTGATGACCGCAACTCTCTTCTATGTGATGGTAGTTTAGATGATCGATATCGACTTATAATGTGAAGACAAACTCGCTACTCGCGGTCTCGAGACTTGTAATATAATATTCTATCTTTGTTCGGTCTTTTCAATTCGGAGACTAATATGATGAATTGTATTCGGAGACTAATATGATGAATTGTATTCAAAGACTAATCTTCTATTGTATTCGATGAATCTGTTGTTGATGTGTGCTGTCTATATTTTGTCAAATTATATATTTTGTAACCTGTGCAAAAACAGAAAATAAAAAAATAAAAAAAACTAATATTCATACTAATGGCGCATCACATGACAGTGCGCCATTAGTATGACAAAGCATACTAATGGCGCATCACTGGTAAGTGCGCCATTAATATGCCATGGTTACTAATGGCGCATCCAGCGGTGGTGCGCCATTAGTATGCCAAAGCACCTGGATATACATGGCCCCTGGGAGGCATACTAATGGCGCACCCTGGCCTATACTAATGGCGCACCCGCGGTGCGCCATTAGTATACCAGATACTAATGGTGCACCAGGTGGTGCGTCATTAGTAAAAATTACTAATGGCGCGCTGTTAATGGCGCACCACAGATGCGCCATTAATGGCCATACTAGGTGCGCCATTAGTAGGGGTTTTTCTAGTAGTGCATGGATAAAGACAATTATCATGAACAAGGAAATATAATAATTATCCTTTTATTATTGCCTCTAGGGCATATTTCCAACACAATGCAGGGTACATTTGGGGCTCCAAGGCACCTATCAAGGTTAAGATCTTTGGCTGACTCCTCTACCGTGACAAGCTTAGCACGATGGCGAACTTACATAGTAAGATCATCACCGCGGGGGCGTCTTATCCTCGCTGCATCATCCCTTTGGAGGACGCAACACACCTCGCCCTTCTCTGCCCATGCGCGGCTTAGGTTTGGTCCTGCTTGGGCCTTCAGATCCCTCTCACCATCGACCTCATCTGGGATACTCCGACTCCGGTTGGCCTCGACATCAGCACTTGGCCTACCATCGCCCTCGCCATCCTCTGGGAGCTGTGAGACTCCAGGAACGCTTGTGTCTTCTGTAACGGATGCACTCCCTCTAGATACTATTAGGAACATCATCTCACATTTTATGCTTTGGGCCTTTAGATTTAAGGACCCAATTAGTAGGGAGGCTGCCGTGTCTTGGCGTCTGTATGTATCCTCTCGTTGTAATCCTTTTATGTAATGTGCAACTTGCCCTTGGTTTTTGAGTAATATATTCAGGTGGGGACCCTCTCCCCCCAGGTGATTGTTCAGAAAAAAACAAAGAGAGAGTTGGGCGGGCCAGAGAGCACAAAAATTTCAAATACGCGGTGTGCCTCTGTCGCCGGGGGTGGCGACTGGCGGCTGCTCCTCTTCTTGGTGGTGCACCGCGATGACCTGTGATGTGAGCTTAGTTGGGCTGATGCGTCTATGCCAAACAGTTCTGGATTGGGTTTGGTGTAATTTTTTTTGCTTCAACATTGGGTCATGGCCTCATCGGCCTTGTTGTAGCTCCGCCAGTATCGAAGGGTAAAGGGACTCAACAGGTTTAGGAATGAGTTTGGATTCCACAATAGCCATATGAGAGGTAATCTCATAATTTCTTAAAAGATGTGAGCCCAAGCAAATTCCATCTCTATAACCAAAATAAACTCATGAACGAAATTATTTCAATCACAAACGCATGAGGGCGAGCCAAGCACACAAGCGCGGATGGGCAAAATGTGGTCTTTACACCCCTCTGCAAAAGCAGGAGCAGACCTAATTTCTTTTATAGTGGGGGCACTTCTTACACCAAATCTGAATTTCCGAAGTAAATTCAGTAAAATACAAGCAAACTTTGCTAAACTTTTAAAAATTGAGTGGGGGCATAGGCCCCCACTGGCCTTTATGTAGGTCCGGCTTGGAGAATGATCAAGACTTGGCTTGGTTTGGAGGCTCTCGCTCTATCTTGCTGGCTGGACAAGAGAAGCGTCAAGACTTGGTGGAACAACATGGCAGGCCACAACACTGCAAATCAAAAGGTCATGACTTTCCTCACCATGCTTGTCAACTCAACAATTTTAGACGAACAAAATGCTTATTTCAAAAAGTCCAAATTGCCGCATTACATATAGAGGCCATCAAGGAGGAGGCTCGGATTTGGACGCCGTGAGGGCTAGGCATTTGAGAAATATCATGCTAGGAGGGTGAGTTTTTTGTATTTCAAAACATGCCACACTCATCTTTTTGAGAAAGCTCTATAAACTCTTTTCTTAATTATAATGAATGAGGTAAATCTTTTGACTTCGCTTTTAAAGAAATGCATCAATAGAACGGCCCATTTGGTAGATGGCATTCCATTTCATTTGGTTCCTCAACTAAACATGCCATTAAAGAATGACAACAGCTCAAAGATCAGATGCTGCGAGTTGAGGGCATCTCCAGCCGCGCCCCTAAGAAGGCCTCCCCAGGCGATTTTTTCGCGCCGGCGCCGAAAAAACGGCCCAGCCGCGCCCCCAGGAGCCCGATTTTCGCCGGCTTGGGCCGAAAACAGCGCCGGCGGACCCAGCCCGAACCCGGCGCGCTGGGGGGCACTCGGGGGCGCCGGGCGAACTTTTTTGGCGCGAAGAAACCGCGGGCCCGACGCGTCAGCGACCGGGTTACTTCTCGGCCCTTCGTCGTCCTCATCGCCTCATTTCCCGCGGCGAATCAATGCCAAAGCTGCCGCGCTGCCGCGCCGGTCAGCCTGCGCCATTGATGCTTCACGGGCGGCGCAGTGAAGGCCGGACGACGCGCGTCCCTCGCCCTCGCCTCGCCCGCCACGCGTACGCACGGTGCCACGCGTGTGGGCGGCGCGTCGGCCTATATATGCCGCGCCCCGACGCACTCGGTCGTCACACTTCCCCTCCGCCGTCGCTCCTTCCCCTCCGCCGTCGCTCCTTCCTCCCTCTCCTCTCCTCCTTTTCGCCGCCTTCCAATGGCCGAACGTTTCCCAGGCGACGGCGCGGCGGCGAACGGCTTCGGCCGCCGCCATCTCCATGAAGACGAGACTCGCCTCCTTTACGAGGCCGAGTACCCGGTCCCGCCGGACATGCGGGTGCCCGGGGCGTGGAGGATCAGCGCGGGCGGCGTGCCGGTGCCCCCGGTACCCTCCGGCGCGGTGCGGCGCGCGGAGATCGCCCGCATCCGCTCGAACCTGCCGCCTGCGGCGAGGGAGGCGCCACGGTACGCCCCCGACAGCCCGCTGTGGGAGCCCTACTTCCGCCGCCGTCACGCCCAGCAGCTCGAGGCCACCAACGGCGTCGTGCCCTCCGGCAGGCAAAACTCCGCCGGCCGGCGTCGATGGTGGGGCGTGCCAGGGCGCACGCTGCACGCCGTCCTCGAGTACATCGAGGGCGGCAACACGCCGCGCCTCGACTACCCCGCTCCCCCTTCCTTTTCACGCCGCCGGGGAAGCTCCTGGACCCCGAGGCGCATGGAGAGGAGACCGGGGGGTCCTCTTCGTCCGGCGGCTCGCCCTGCCTCCGCCCCGTCAAGCCGGAGCCCCAGGACACGCCTGTGGCCGCGCGCACCCGCAGCTCCGGCGTCCGTATCGGCGCCCCGTCAAGCCGGAGCCCCGCCGGCCGTTTTGTCCTCGTCGAGCCCAAGCCGGAGCCCGGCCTCGTCGAGCCCAAGAAGGAGCCCGGCCTCCCCGCGGAGTACGAGGAGATAGCCCGGCGCGGCTTCTCCGACGAGGACGCCATGCGGTGGGCGCGGGAGGACTACCTCCGCGAGGAGACGGTCCGGCAGTGCCGGGCCCTGAAGGAGATCGCCGCCCGCAAGCGCGGGCGCGAGGACGAGCACGGCGTCGTGATCCTCGACAGCGACGACGACGACGCCCCCGGACCTTCCAACCTGCCGCGCCAACCGGGGGAGGGGTGCAGCAGGGACGACGGAGGTTTAGGCGGGGGCGGCAGCGGCGACGACGACGACGGCGGCGACTACACGCGGTTCTACAGCCTCCTCGGCATGTAGACGCGTTGGGCGGGCGGCGAGGGAGACGGCGGGAGTAGCCCGCCGTTTTTTTTTTGTAAAATATGTTTAAGTTTGAACGAACTCGCCGAAATTTGCTATGAATTTGCGCCGTGTTTGTGCCGTGTTTAAATTTTTTAAAATACCGTGGGCGCCGCGACTGGGGGGCGCCCCCAGTGCGCAGTTAGCGCCGGTGCGCCCCCAGGGGCGATTTTTTGCCCCTCCTGGGGAGCCAACGGCTGGAGATGCCCTGAGGAGGGGATAGGAGGGGGCAGGGGAAAGACAGAGAGCACCATATGGATGAATAGACATGAAACGGCTGTCAATAGCGGTGCCCTTAAAGTTGTGTTGACAGCAATAGATTGCATATGATCTGTACTGAGTAAAGACATAAAGAGGTATGCACATTGTTGAGATGATCATGAGCAAGGGGTCAACAAGATGTTATATTGTACAACAAAGAATATATTTTGGATTCAATAAGGGCGGTCGGTTAATTTCCTATGGCATCGGATTGCACCAGGCTCATCTGATAATTTGACCAAAAATTGCCCACCAGCGTGGCTTCTAAATATAGTCAATATATGTGTAAATGGAGGCCATTACACTTCAAAACCCTGGAACGAACAATGAGCTCAGCTCATTTGTTCGACTCGATGAACTCCCGGTATTCCTTCTTCATCTTCACACCAGAGAAAGTCCTGCATTTCCAAGATTAAGGTATATCAGAAGGGTGGGCCTGCTATGACACCATATAAAGTAGGCAAGACAGGGGTTCTGCAAGCTGCCCAAGAGATGTTCGACATATTTGGGAGAAATTCCGGGTGCATGGTAGAAGCTTTGTTAACCCGGAACAACACTACCCATATGTCACGATTAAGATGTGTACTTGCAAAGAGAGCACACTTATCCTGCCAACTGTCCTATTTAACATCGTCAAAATGGCATTCATGAAAGAAGATGGACAAAGTGTTGACCACTGATCTATCTCTATGTGTACGTACAACATGCCCGTCATTCATGTGTTTTGGCCTCATTTACAGGATGATGACATCTCAACTTAAGCCTGTGGTTGGATATAAAAAATTGTTAACTGTGGAATATGTAATTCCAGCAGAACCCGTCCATTGAAAATGAAGTGAGCATGGTGGTCACTGCTTAATTTGGTTTATTACTACCAAAAGGATAAGTACAAAACTGGAATTATGTAAAGGTACAAAAGTGGTTGCCGTCATAGAGCAAGAAGGTTCACTAAGAACAATAAAATACTCATATTTCAGCTAACCCAATGTTTAGGTAAGTTGTGTTTTAGGTTGCGGCCGTAGTTTAGTAGAAAAACTAGCAAGACCAATCTAAGAAGCAAACCTGATCATTTCTTTGTTTTTGAAGAACTGGACACACGGTGTTCCCATTATGCCTGCAGCTTCTGCTATTTCAGGGTCCTCCTCGATGTCAATTTCAACAAAATGAACGTATTCGTCGTATTCATCTATAACCTGTAAGAAATATCATTTTCACAAGGATGAGGTATCATTATCAGCAAGCAACAAAAATAACATATAATTGCACAAGAACTTTTTTTTGAAGCTGTACCAAATTGTGAACTTATGTACTCCCTCCGTTCACAAATATAAGATGTTCTAACTTTTTTTCTGAATCAGATGTATAGACACGTTTTAGTGTGTTTGTTCAGTCCTTTCAGTCCGTATGTAGTCCATATATCAGCAAGGGTGTTGCAGTTGAAGTGCCGCACCCAATGGTAGTCGAGCAGCTACCAGATTAAACTCTTACCACCGAAGTGGTAAATTCATAGTTCTTACAAGGTTACCGCTGTGATGACGCGTGTATCACCAAGCATAGAGAAGGGTGCTATCTTGAATAGGGGATTCTCATGAAATTAAAAATAGACAAGGTGATCAAATCACATCCATGCATTGTCAAATTGCTGGCATAGAACAGTCCATCAGCTATCAGGTGGTGTGGTTCAGACCACCTAATGCATTTCAAATGGTAACATCTGTACCCAGTGTCTTAGACATATACCTAGGGCCCTAACAAAAATATACTCCAATGTAATGTGTGGACTACCATTGTTTAGCAGTGTGTGTTGAAAACAAGATGAGATTTAGAAATTAACCGATGCATGTGTGGAGGGTCAATTTTAATCGAGTGGGTGATATTTATGACTGGAATGCATACTGGCACCTTCAACTGATGCAGTTCTTATCGACTTCCATCTTCATAAATGCCACAATGCAATGCAGACATCATGAGCATATGCCCACTCAATTCATTTGGTGTGTTTCAATCATATATTGTTCTTTGTTGGATTGAGTTTATCTTCAATAAGGATTTTATTTCTAGAACAGACGATTGAGCTCCGGCATGCTCTAGCAGATCCAAATGTAAACTATCAGGCTACTGGCTTGGCTTGTCGCTATGGATGTTCAGTCGTCAAAGGAAACCACAGCATAAAGTAAATTTATTTCTAGAATTAAGGTAGATGTGAAGAAGATGTTAAGATACATTTTGTATAACTAGATTTAAGGTTGCTGACAAGTAATTTTATTTAAGTACTCCCTCCGTTCCTATTTACTCGTCGTAGTTTTAGTTCAAATTTTAACTAAAACCAAGACGAGTAAATCGGAACGGAGGGAGTAGATGTTAAGATGTTCAAAGTTCAATTACAAAAATTCAAGAACTAACCTTGTTCAAAATTGGTTTTAAGGTTCTGCAGGGACCACATGTTGGAGAAGTATATAGAACCAAAATGAGCCTTGGACTTCCATGGTATAACTTGCGGAGTGCATACTGCAAAGATAGCAAAGCTCAGGATCAAATTTGACATGAACACTTACGTTTATATGAGGCACACTAAGGATATATATGTTTGGCACCTGTCCCTTGTGCTTTGTGTGAGTAATGTCGAAGCCCATCTCGACATCTTTGCCTTCAATCTCCTTCTTTTTTTCTTCACGAACAGGCTGAAATTTAATCAAGTAGAACAAAGAGTTGTAACATAAGTTTGATTGGTTGTTACAGAAGATAAGCCCCAAAACATATGAAGGTGCATTAAGTATGCATACACTAATGATCTCTAGTAGCTCAGGTTTTATCCACTCACAAGGTCACAAATTCTTATTCAGAACATATCAACTCACAGTTTCACATCGCTACAGCTTATGATAATGGAAGTCTAAACTCCAAATTTTATACACGAAAGAATAATCGAATGTGCCTGCATAGCATGCTAATATATGGAAACTAGGAAGCTTAATTAGAATGGACAAAATTTATCACAAATTACTGCAACACCCATGATAATGAAGACCAGTGATATTCATAGGGTAAGAGACAGTTTTCATTGAGACAATGACGACCAATCAAAATGAAGCTGGCAAATGCACATGGATCAATTGCGCTAAACAAATACATTTTGCATGAAAAATAATACCTGGTGAAATTCAACAAGAAGATCATTGGAGACTAAGTATCTTTCAACTGACAAAGCAGCTATACATCCAGATCCAGCTGCAGTAACGGCTTGCCTCCATTCATGATCCTGCAGGTGAAGATGTGTGAAAACAGAAAAAGTTCATGATAACGGGCTGAAATAATAAATAGAATATCTGAATATCTATGTTTCATGGATAGGTATCGAATGATGAGTGGGTACAAGTCTTCTGTCTTAGACAACAAATTATATTGCCTTTCACTGCGGAATTTTCCAAACAGTAGAGGCAGGGTCATCAAGAGATGATGTGCTAGCATGCTACAGGATTAACGTGGTGAGGTGACAGCACACATGAACTGCAACAGGATTAAGTCCTTGTTTCTTCAAGCGTCACACTTTACAATCATGAAGAAGTTTCAGACATTCAATGAAGGATGGAGTTACCTGCACATCACCAGCAGCAAATACGCCATCAACTGAAGTTTTTGCTGTCCCTTCATCAACCAAAATATATCCAGAACTATCAAGTTCAATTTGACCTTGTAGCAGCTGACTGTTTGGAGTATGTCCTATCCCATAAAATAGACCTTTCACTTCAAGAACTTTTTCCTCTCCCGTATCGATTCTCCTCAACTGAATACCGGACATCTGTCCTTTCGTATTGCCGACAACATCCACAGCTTCTGTATTGAAATGTACTGTTATGTTGGGGTTGTTGAGTACTCTGAAACATTCGCCATAATCAACCTGTTAACCAAACATCCAGGCAATTGAAATTTTACTTCATTAATATATCATGCAACTGAAGAGGAGCTAACATCCTTTAAAGAACTTAACAATTTCATCTACAGACAAGTTCCAAAAAAATTACAGCCCTCGAGTTCTATGGACCTCTGGCAATATTGTGATTTTGAGTATCTAAACTTATTGCAGTATTAACGAAGACCAATTGTGCCGCTATAACCAACATTTTAAAGTGGAAGCTCAGCATATTACCATGCAACTAAATACCATCATCGAATGGTGAATGAGTTCACGTTATTTACAATAGATGAGAGGTGGAAAAATAATCGTGCATTCCTTTTACAGTTGTTTAAGTTGTCAAGTATCAACTGATGCTAACACTGAAAATAAGTGAAATCTTGGCAATCCATGGACCGAAGATTTACATGAACAGGTAAGACTATTTTGATATTTATCACAGTAAAGGATATAATTTTATAGGGAAAAAAACTTAGAGAATGCCTTACCGGTCCTGCATAGCTTTGGATGCTCGTAGTTGGTCTCTTCGAACAAGTAAATGAACATGGCACGCATATTTTGTCAAATATATTGCTTCCTCGGTAGCTGTATCACCCCCTCCAACGACCGCGAGAACTTGACCCTTGTACAGTGGTGATGCTCCATCACATATTGCACATGCGCTGATACCTCTACTCCAAAATTCTTCTTCACGAGGTAATCGAAGTCGCTTCGCAGTAGCTCCAGTTGCAATGATTACACTATGGGATTTCACCTATATATATGTCACTAAAATTAGTGCAGCAAAAAATATGTGCAAAATAATTCACGTGCACTATAAATTAATAACAGGTGGTTTGCCATCAACATACATATACAAAGAAAAATTACAGCACAACTAAGAGTCAAGTCATAATCGTAGAGCAAAAGAGTAGACAAAGACCTAAATAAGTAAAGCACATAGAATTCTGCACTGGTTCAGAGCTCACATTATTTACTCTACACTTTCCACTAGCTCTGCTTTGTTACTTTTCAATTTAAAACGGATCCTGGTTTTGACTAACATCACAGTAATAGTAACCATTGAATGTTCACAAAATTCACATGCAACACTACCTTGTTACGAGAGGCAAGTTCAGAGTCCAAAATATGTTATGGCGCACCAAGAGGAAGAACACAAAGTGCTTACCTCTCGGTCACTGCTACGGATAACAAATGGCCTACTCTTCACATCTATAAATTCAACATCTTCTTGGTGAAGCTCTGCACCCCACCGCTCCGCCTGCTTCCGCATTCTGGCATAAATCACGACCCCAGGATGATATAAGTAAGCAAACACAACGTTTACCAATTCAATACAGATAGTGGGGCACTCTTACTTGTCCATGAGATCAGGCCCAGTGATGCCGTCGGGGAACCCAGGGAAATTCTCCACCTCGGTGGTGGTCATCAGCTGGCCTCCGGGAACACCGCCCACCTGGTAGCCTTCGAAGACGACGGGTTTCAGGTTGGCCCGGGCAGCGTAAATGGCCGCGGTGTACCCTGCCGGGCCGGAGCCGATGATCACCAGGTTCTCCACCCCCCTGCCAGGATCTGCAACCACGAGAAAACAATCACCCACTGTTCCACTTCACCACAGGGCGTCTTCAGCTCCACATACAGTATCGGATAATAGCAAAAAAACTGACAGTACGCAGGTCTACAGACTACAGAGTCAGGGCAGCCCCAAATCTAAAATCTGGACAGACGGAAGGAACAGGGGACTGAGAGCGGCGCACCTGACGGAGGAGAGGAGGCGGGGGCCTCCTCGTCGACCGCGTCGGCGGCGGGGGCGGCGGTGGCGCGCAGGGCCTTGGACTTGGGTGCGCGAGAACAGGAGGCGGCGGGGAGGGGGCGGCACGAGGACGGGGCCGCCCTGCCTCGGCGGGAGGAGGGCGGGGCGGAGGAGAGGGCGGCGGCCACGGCGAGGCGCGTGACCG